CGGGGCGGGTGGCTGAATGGTTAATTGCGTGAGCTTTAAGCCAGTCGGCGCGGGTTCAATCCCGGCTCGTGGCACATCTGGCAATGTGTCTGAAAACCTAGCCCGGGTTGACCAAGCCATGTGAGGGAAATTTGGTAGAGGAAACTATGTCCTCGATGGACTGTATCTGCATCTGCAATGTTGCAGCCTTGTCACCCTGTGTCACGCTGATATCAGCGTTGTAGTTGCGTGAAAGGTACGAGTGATTGTAGTCTGATCAGCTGCCTTCACTATAATTTCAGTGACCAGGATGTTCCACTTTGTGTGTGGAACCCTCATACGTCGAAATCGACGGAGTCCATTTACTTACTTAATACTAACTAGCTGATAGCGTCATGCAGCATATGCGGCGCTAGTCAAAGTAAAGATAACATGCATCGATTATATGTGGATTACTGGATTTTTAAGAACTCGTGAAAATATATTATCCGTGCAGACATCCCTTCCGGTAAATAACATATATTTTATGAGTCAACTTAAAAATTAATTTGATTACACTTATTACAAAACATTGTAAAACTTGTCTAAATTGCGCAACTCTTCACTTTAACGCTCTGCTCTACATGATTTTGTGTATAACAATTTACACAAAAATGAGCAAATTGTTTACTCAAAGAAATTTGTATATTTTCAATTCAAAAAAGTAAGTTAAGATTTTACGGTAGTTTTAAGTTGACAGAACTCAAAGTTTTAGTTAAATGAGATGATTTACGCAATTAATTGCGTAAATTTACACAAAATTTTACGCAGTCCATTTAACATTATGTTTCACGTAAGGTTTAAATAAGGGGTCTCCAAACTTTACAGCCAGAGGGCCACATGACTTTCATCCAGCATGTTGAGGGCCGACGAATCTTATACCGCTGGTCAAAGAGCGAATATTTTTATAAAACGAAGTACATTACACAAGCTTCATTAGTTAAGAAAATATTTATTCAAAATTTAAAGGTTAAATTTCAACAAAGTGTAATATCATAACAAATTCACAATTAGTCTGTTCAGTTTTATCAATGTGAGTGGTGAAATTGGCTTTCTTAAGTGTCTCTGCGGGCCGGATTGAGAGGCCCAACGGGCCGCATCTGGCCCGCGGGCCGTAGTTTGGAGACCCCTGGTTTAAATGATAAAAGCATCAAACTTATAAATACACAAATTATTTTACGTATTTAATCAATCAGCAATTCTTGTTTGTAATTTGGCTACGTTTGCTGAAAGTTCAGCAAAAAACTCGAAATTGTTAAAAAAAATTTCCAGTCTCAGAAGTCGTCGACACACAAAAATCTTTAATGTTCACTAAATTTATCAAGAATTTCACTAAACAACTTAATGACAAAGATTTCTTCCAGCAAGAGTGAAGATCGTTCTATATACTTAATATATTTGTAAAACCCACGGTAACTTTACTATTAAAAATATGTCGAATTGTAGATTATGAATGTTAAAATTGCTTTTTTTAAATGTTATGTGGACTGTCTTGGTAACTTTTTCAAGTATTTTGAAGAAAAGATTATATATAAGTCTACTTTATATACTTTTTTAACCTAAATACAAATTTTACTATATGCAATTTAAATGCGATATTTGGGGGTATATTCTGAACTAGCAATTTGTTAAAATATTTCGTAAGCGTGTTATATATAAATAACAACGAAACAAATCAACGCTAATATTTATGATGTTCAATGATTGAAAAATCATATGTAAATAGTTTCAAACTACTGCTCCATAAAATTGTTAAAGAAAATCAACAACATGCACTGTCTTTATTTCTATCGTACCAGAATGCAGCGTTGAAAGACGTGCTAGAAATATGGATTTTTACTTTATAGGCATATGAAATATCAGTGCATTATCAACTCTAGCCATGCAAACAAGGTATATCTACAAATTTTTACGGATTATTCCTATATTATTAATAGAAAAACAAAGAAATAGCTAAATTATATACAACAAATCGTACCTCTTCCAGGATCACCTAAATATGAACTATCAAAATATCTATGTAACATTCTTTATTCTCTAGTCAAAAGTTCGCCTCACACCATCAAAAACGCCACCACCTTCCTCGTCAACATTGACACCGTTAAACTACAACCAGACACAGACACAGTTATGATATCTTACGACGTGACATTACTCTTCACATCCATACTAGTAGACACAGCCAAAGTATTAAAAACGAACTATTTACAAACGACAAATCTTGGCAAGCCACGACACAACTTGACAAAAATGACATCTTAGACTTACTCAGTCTTTGCCTCTTCACTGAATTCCCTTACAGAACTCATACCATAGACAAATTTCAGGCACACAAATTGTGTCACCACTATCCACCTTCACCGCAGAAATTATAATGCAACAACTCGAATCACAATCAGTCACCAACAACACAGACATCAGACTGAGGAAAAGATGTGTCGACGACATCTTTGCCATTGTCAAGAAAGACAAAACTGAACAAATCCTACAAACCTTAAACAATACAATAATAAACATAACCTTTACTAAAGATGAAGACATGAAAACAACTTACTTTTCTCTGTATCCTACTGACTAGAACAGCACACTAAACACACATATTGTGCCGCAAAACGACCCACACAGACCAAATATTTGATTTCAACATCAATCACCCAACACAACACAAAATATGCTGCATACGAACACCTTTTCATCAGAATCAACACTTATTGTAACACCGAAAAGGCTAAGAAAACAGAACGCAATTACTTATACTCCACATTTATAAAAAACAATTACAATAGAAAATTTATAAACAAAATTATAAACAAAACACAAAACAAAACCCAAACCAACAAAAGTAACGAATAACCCGATGAAACAGTAAAAACAATCACATCCATGCATACATAAACGGAACATCAAAAAAGACTGCATGACTTCTTCGACCATTCAATATAAACGTCGCAAACAAACCAACACAAAGACAAATCATATTTTGCCAAACATAAAGACAAAACAACAACAATTCATGATACAACGGACGCAATCTACATGATGCCATTTAAAGATTGCTCAAAACAATACATATAGGACAAAAATCGAAGAAAATCGAAACAAGACTCACAGAACACAAAAACGCCATAAAACGACGAGATCCAAACTCATTAACGACAGAACACACGTTTGCAAATAACGACGCATAGGATTGGACAGAAATTAAAGTACTCGGACGCGCACAGACAAAACACGCACGCAAATTTAAAGACGCTTGGTACAGTAAAGACAACGACACAATGAACAAACATATTGACATACCTATCGTATATATTCACAGCTAAAGAAAACGACAAAAATCTACTAACGACACTCAAACCACAGCAACTCACGGTAATAATATATATTATCACAATCCTATTCACAATACACCCAAACCCACAACAACATATTTCACGTCATTCAATCACCTAAATCCACCATTAATAAAATAACTTATCCGGATAAACTTTTATCTTTCTAAAGTACATATATATAAGTTTAAAGAATGGTAATCCAGACATGCTTTATTGTAGTGCATGCCGTTATGTAATCTAGTACCTAATAACCAATTGCATATACAGTAAATAATAAATTATCTGTCAGTTTCCTGAAGATCGCCCTATGGCGTGAAACACCAAGTAGTGACAGCAAAACTTATCAATATATTAACTATACAATACATTGATTTTTAATACTGAATTGTAAGTAGCAATGCTGAAAATTACCATATATACATTGTTGTTCAATTATACATGGTTTCAGTTTATCTTTGTTGTTTTAGTATTTTGTCAAAGTGTTTCCTTCATGTGGTTATGTATAGATAACCAAGGTTAAAATCAACGCAAATACTCCCGATGTTCAAAATTACAAAATCATGAATAAATATTTTAAAATGCTGCTTCATAAAATTGATAAAGAAAATCAACAACAAGTAGTGTCTTCATTTCTATCGTCACAGAATGGAGCGTTGAAAGACGTGCAAGAAATACGGATTTTTACGAAATAACATACGACATATAAGTATATTATCAAATCTAGTTCTGCAAACAAGGTATGTACAAGTTTTTACGTTGGGGATTATTCCATTTAGTAGAAAAAATAAGGAAAACATAAAAACAAAAATATGTTTATAATACATTGATTTTTCAAAACAGAAATTTTACTAATAATAATAAAAATTACCTTTTATACATTCTCGTTCACTCACTGCACCAACATTGATGGTACCTTTACCATCATTACAGGAAGACAACGAGTTTGTTTTGGATATGGTTGATATGTATAGATGGGACATTTTCACATTTCTTACTTTTAAAGGAAAAGAATGAACCAATTGAACAATCTATAAAGAGGATTAATGAAAATAAAACGTTGACTGACAATTAAAATTCTACAGTTGATTTATTTATTGTATTCAATGTTTCCTGTCTCATTATGTAAGTTAACTATGAATCAAATGAAAAGTTTAGAAAATTTTCAAGAACATTAAAGCAAAAGATTGATTAAGCAAAACACTTCACATTCCAAGAAAACAAATACTTACCAAAAGCATTGTTAGGAATGGCCACCTTTGGTATTGTGTCACAGCTTCCTGGAGCAAAAGCAAGATTGTCGAGAGCTACAAGTTTATTTCTGTAACTACGCACGACAGCTTCAACGATTAACTATGAAGAAAAGTAAGCGGCTTGGACAAATTGCCAAGTTTAATTTTAAGTTGTATAAATATGTGTAAGTTGCCTACCCTAGATAGACCCATTGTAAAATTAACTGTGACTTGGCCTTTTTCCACTTAGTTCCTTGATCACCACTTAATGACCACAGTAAAGATTGTATCCATTGTGAAAATATTCTTGGTAGATATTTAATGATAATAACTGCAAACATGTACGAAAATGAAAACACACGAGAGAGTCGTTGCGATAGTTTCCAACCAACCAAGCTTTGCCTGAAATGTGAAACAGAAGATATCGTCCTACAACACATGAAGAAATGTAAGATATATGTAGACTATATATATAAAGAATAAAAATATCGTCCTACAACAAATGAAGAATTGTAAGATATATGCGGACTTTATATATAAAGAAATATAAAATTATCGTGGTTTAACAAATTCAATAAACAAAATTTTTTAAAAAACCATAATAGCTATAAAATTATCATATAGTTTTGTGTCTTTTAGCTGAATGAAACTACATCTGATTTTAATTTTAAGTAAGTATCTATTTTAGATCCACTAATATATTTATGACGTTGGATTTTATTAAGAAGTAACTTACTGTTTGACATTTAAAATCTGAGTTGTCATTTAAAGACAAAATCCTAGGTACTCTTCATCATTTTCCTTTTTTTAATTCAAGCAGTTGTACATACAACACTTATTCACTATAAACGCTGCCATCTTACCAATACTGAAGCCTGTAGCATAATAGCGTGGTGGGTCATAACGTGATGAGTATGATGTACGAAGTTTCCAGTCAAAGTCATCGTCACCTTTTACGTTGTGCCATGGACATTCAGTAGTTCCCAGTCCCTTTTGAAAATCACATCTTTTGACTGAACGAAGAAGAAATCGAAAGTTAAACAGCCATATTAGTTGTTATAGAATATAGAAAAAGTCTGAAATGCATTTGTATGTAATAAAAAGATACGACACAAGATAAAGGGTTTTTAACTGCAAAAAATGTTGTGTAAATTGTACACAAAAATTTCAGTAAAATGTGTATCCACAGTGACACAAACGCTAGTGTATAGACTACATAAAACTATTGGTAAATTTAATATTTTGAGTGAAAGGATGAATTACACACTTTTGGGAAAATGTATAACACAAAATTGTAGGTAAATATAGAAACAGACAATGCATTTACAGCAACACAGGTTTTAGAGTAAAATTTCTATTAAAACACACTTATAAATAGGTATAAAGAGATAGTCGTTTATTGTGTAGAAAATTACATTGATCAATAAGACATGTATACTACAAGACCAAGCATATATTAATAGTCGTAATACTAACTAGCTGACAGCGTCATGCAGCATATGCGGCGCTAGTCAAAGTAAAGATAACATGCATCGATTATATGTGGATTACTGGATTTTTAAGAACTCGTGAAAATATATTTTCCGTGCAGACATCCCTTCCGGTAAATAACATATATTTTATGAGTCAACTTAAAAAATTAATTTGATTACACTTATTACAAAACATTGTAAAACTTGTCTAAATTGCGCAACTCTTCACTTTAACGCTCTGCTCTACATGATTTTGTGTATAACAATTTACACAAAAATGAGCAAATTGTTTACTCAAAGAAATTTGTATATTTTCAATTCAAAAAAAGTAAGTTAAGATTTTACCGTAGTTTTAAGTTGACAGAACTCAAAATTTTAGTTAAATGAGATGATTTACGCAATTAATTGCGTAAATTTACACAAAATTTTACGCAGTCCATTTAACATTATGTTTCACGTAAGGTTTAAATCAGGGTCTCCAAACTTTACAGCCAGAGGGCCACATGACTTTCATCCAGCATGTTGAGGGCCGACGAATCGTATACCGCTGGTCAAAGAGCGAATATTTTAATAAAACGAAGTACATAACACAAGCTTCATTAGTTAAAAATTTAAAGGTTAAATTTCAACAAAGTGTAATATCATAACAAAATCACAATTAGTCTGTTCAGTTTTCTCAATGTGAGTGGTGAAATTGGCTTTCTTAAGTGTCTCTGCGGGCCGGATTGAGAGGCCCAACGGGCCATCTGGCCCGTGGGCCGTAGTTTGGAGACCCTGGTTTAAATGATAAAAGCATCAAACTTATAAATACACAAATTATTTTACGTTTTAATCAATCAGCAATTCTTGTTTGTAATTTGGCTACGTTTGCTGAAAGTTCAGCAAAAACTCGAAATTGTGTAAAAATTTCCAGTCTCAGAAGTCGTCGACACACAAAATCTTTAATGTTCACTAAATTTATCAAGAATTTCACTAAACAACTTAATGACAAAAATTTCTTCCAGCAAGAGTGAAGATCGTTCTATATACTTAATATATTTGTAAAACCCACGGTAACTTTACTATTAAAAATATGTCGAATTGTAGATTATGAATGTTAAAATTGCTTTTTTTTAAATGTTATGTGGACTGTCTTGGTAACTTTTTCAAGTATTTTGAAGAAAAGATTATATATAAGTCTACTTTATATACTTTTTTAACCTAAATACAAATTTTACTATATGCAATTTAAATGCGATATTTGGGGGGTATATTCTGAACTAGCAATTTGTTAAAATATTTCGTAAGCGTGTTATATATAAATAACAACGAAACAAATCAACGCTAATATTTATGATGTTCAATGATTGAAAAATCATATGTAAATAGTTTCAAACTACTGCTCCATAAAATTGTTAAAGAAAATCAACAACATGCACTGTCTTTATTTCTATCGTACCAGAATGCAGCGTTGAAAGACGTGCTAGAAATATGGATTTTACTTTATAGGCATATGAAATATCAGTGCATTATCAACTCTAGCCATGCAAACAAGGTATATCTACAAATTTTACGGATTATTCCTATATTATTAATAGAAAACAAAGAAATAGCTAAATTATATACAACAAATCGTACCTCTTCCAGGATCACCTAAATATGAACTATCAAAATATCTATGTAACATTCTTTATTCTCTAGTCAAAAGTTCGCCTCACACCATCAAAAACGCCACCACCTTCCTCGTCAACATTGACACCGTTAAACTACAACCAGACACAGACACAGTTATGATATCTTACGACGTGACATTACTCTTCACATCCATACTAGTAGACACAGCCAAAGTATTAAAAACGAACTATTTACAAACGACAAATCTTGGCAAGCCACGACACAACTTGACAAAAATGACATCTTAGACTTACTCAGTCTTTGCCTCTTCACTGAATTCTCCTTACAGAACTCATACCATAGACAAATTTCAGGCACACAAATTGTGTCACCACTATCCACCTTCACCGCAGAAATTATAATGCAACAACTCGAATCACAATCAGTCACCAACAACACAGACATCAGACTGAGGAAAAGATGTGTCGACGACATCTTTGCCATTGTCAAGAAAGACAAAACTGAACAAATCCTACAAACCTTAAACAATACAATAATAAACATAACCTTTACTAAAGATGAAGACATGAAAACAACTTACTTTTCTCTGTATCCTACTGACTAGAACAGCACACTAAACACACATATTGTGCCGCAAAACGACCCACACAGACCAAATATTTGATTTCAACATCAATCACCCAACACAACACAAAATATGCTGCATACGAACACCTTTTCATCAGAATCAACACTTATTGTAACACCGAAAAGGCTAAGAAAACAGAACGCAATTACTTATACTCCACATTTATAAAAAACAATTACAATAGAAAATTTATAAACAAAATTATAAACAAAACACAAAACAAAACCCAAACCAACAAAAGTAACGAATAACCCGATGAAACAGTAAAAACAATCACATCCATGCATACATAAACGGAACATCAAAAAAGACTGCATGACTTCTTCGACCATTCAATATAAACGTCGCAAACAAACCAACACAAAAGACAAATCATATTTTGCCAAACATAAAGACAAAACAACAACAATTCATGATACAACGGACGCAATCTACATGATGCCATTTAAAGATTGCTCAAAACAATACATATAGGACAAAAATCGAAGAAAATCGAAACAAGACTCACAGAACACAAAAACGCCATAAAACGACGAGATCCAAACTCATTAACGACAGAACACACGTTTGCAAATAACGACGCATAGGATTGGACAGAAATTAAAGTACTCGGACGCGCACAGACAAAACACGCACGCAAATTTAAAGACGCTTGGTACAGTAAAGACAACGACACAATGAACAAACATATTGACATACCTATCGTATATATTCACAGCTAAAGAAAAACGACAAAAAATCTACTAACGACACTCAAACCACAGCAACTCACGGTAATAATATATATTATCACAATCCTATTCACAATACACCCAAACCCACAACAACATATTTCACGTCATTCAATCACCTAAATCCACCATTAATAAAATAACTTATCCGGATAAACTTTTATCTTTCTAAAGTACATATATATAAGTTTAAAGAATGGTAATCCAGACATGCTTTATTGTAGTGCATGCCGTTATGTAATCTAGTACCTAATAACCAATTGCATATACAGTAAATAATAAATTATCTGTCAGTTTCCTGAAGATCGCCCTATGGCGTGAAACACCAAGTAGTGACAGCAAAACTTATCAATATATTAACTATACAATACATTGATTTTTAATACTGAATTGTAAGTAGCAATGCTGAAAATTACCATATATACATTGTTGTTCAATTATACATGGTTTCAGTTTATCTTTGTTGTTTTAGTATTTTGTCAAAGTGTTTCCTTCATGTGGTTATGTATAGATAACCAAGGTTAAAATCAACGCAAATACTCCTGATGTTCAAAATTACAAAAATCATGAATAAATATTTTTAAATGCTGCTTCATAAAATTGATAAAGAAAATCAACAACAAGTAGTGTCTTCATTTCTATCGTCACAGAATGGAGCGTTGAAAGACGTGCAAGAAATACGGATTTTACGAAATAACATACGACATATAAGTATATTATCAAATCTAGTTCTGCAAACAAGGTATGTACAAGTTTTACGTTGGGGATTATTCCATTTAGTAGAAAAATAAGGAAAACATAAAACAAAAATATGTTTATAATACATTGATTTTTCAAAACAGAAATTTTACTAATAATAATAAAAATTACCTTTTATACATTCTCGTTCACTCACTGCACCAACATTGATGGTACCTTTACTCTCATTACAGGGAAGACAACGAGTTTGTTTTGGATATGGTTGATATGTATAGATGGGACATTTTTCACATTTCTTACTTTTAAAGGAAAAGAATGAACCAATTGAACAATCTATAAAGACGATTAATGAAAATAAAACGTTGACTGACAATTAAAATTTACAGTTGATTTATTTATTGTATTCAATGTTTTTGTTCCATTATGTAAGTTAACTATGAACCAAATGAAAAGTTAGAAAATTTTCAAGAACATTAAAACAAAAGATTGATCAAGCAAAACACTTCACATTCCAAGAAAACAAATACTTACCAAAAGCATTGTTAGGAATGGCCACCTTTGGTATTGTGTCACAGCTTCCTGGAGCAAAAGCAAGATTGTCGAGAGCTACAAAGTTCTGTAGTATCTCACGACAGCTTCAACGATTAACTATGAAGAAAAGTAAGTGCTTGGACAAATTGCCAAAGTTTAAAGTTGTATAAGTATGTGTAAGTTCCTACCCTAGATAGACCCATTGTAAAATTAACTGTGACTTGGCCTTTTTCCACTTAGTTCCTTGATCACCACTTAATGACCACAGTAAAAGATTGTATCCATTGTGAAAATATTCTTGGTAGATATTTAATGTCTCATCATAACTGTCATCCATGTAATACGAAAATGAAAAACACACGAGAGAGTCGTTGCGATAGTTTCCAACCAACCAACCTTTGCCTGAAATATATGATCTCAAACGAAGATATCGTCCTACAACACATGAAGAAATGTAAGATATATGTCGACTATATATATAAAGAATAAAAATATCGTCCTACAACACATGAAGAATTGTAAGATATATGCGGACTTTATATATAAAGAAATATAAAATTATCGTGGTTTAACAAATTCAATAAACAAAATTTTTTAAAAAACCATAATAGCTATAAAATTATCATCTATTTTCGTGTCTTTTAGCTGAATGAAACTACATCTGATTTTAATTTTAAGTAAGTATCTATTTTAGATCCAGCAATATATTTATGACGTTAGATTTTATTAAGAAGTAACTTACTGTTTGACATTTAAAATCCGAGTTGTCATTTAAAGACAAAATCCTAGATACTCTTCATCATTTTTCTTTTTTTAATTCAAGCAGTTGTACATACAACACTTATTCCCTATAAACGCTGCTATCTTACCAGTACTGAAGCCTGTAGCATCATATCGTGGTGGGTCATAATATGATGAGGATGATGTACTAAGTTTCCAGTCAAAGTCATCGTCACCTTCTACGTTGTGCCATGGACATAAAGTAGTTCCCAGTCCCTTTTGAAAATCACATCTTTTGACTGAACGAAAAGAAATCGAAAGTTAAACAGCCATATTAGTTGTTATAGAATATAGGAAAAGTCTGAAATGCATTTGTATGGAATAAAAACACACCACACAAGATAATGGGTTTTAACTGCAAAAATGTTGTGTAAATTGTACACAAAATTTCAGTAAAATGTGTATCCACAGTGACACAAACGCTAGTGTATAGACTACATAAAACTATTGGTAAATTTAATATTTTGAGTGAAAGGATGAATTACACACTTTTGGGAAAATGTATAACACAAAATTGTAGGCAAAAAAATATAGAAACAGACAATGCATTTACAGCAACACAGGTTTTAGAGTAAAATTTCTATTAAAACACACTTATAAATAGGTATAAAGAGATAGTCGTTTATTGTGTAGAAAATTACATTGATCAATAAGACATGTATACTACAAGACCAAGCATATATTAATAGTCGTAATACTAACTAGCTGACAGCGTCATGCAGCATATGCGGCGCTAGTCAAAGTAAAGATAACATGCATCGATTATATGTGGATTACTGGATTTTTAAGAACTCGTGAAAATATATTTTCCGTGCAGACATCCCTTCCGGTAAATAACATATATTTTATGAGTCAACTTAAAATTAATTTGATTACACTTATTACAAAACATTGTAAAACTTGTCTAAATTGCGCAACTCTTCACTTTAACGCTCTGCTCTACATGATTTTGTGTATAACAATTTACACAAAATGAGCAAATTGTTTACTCAAAGAAATTTGTATATTTTCAATTCAAAAAGTAAGTTAAGATTTTACCGTAGTTTTAAGTTGACAGAACTCAAAATTTTAGTTAAATGAGATGATTTACGCAATTAATTGCGTAAATTTACACAAAATTTTACGCAGTCCATTTAACATTATGTTTCACGTAAGGTTTAAATCAGGGTCTCCAAACTTTACAGCCAGAGGGCCACATGACTTTCATCCAGCATGTTGAGGGCCGACGAATCGTATACCGCTGGTCAAAGAGCGAATATTTTAATAAAACGAAGTACATAACACAAGCTTCATTAGTTAAGAAAATATTTATTCAAAATTTAAAGGTTAAATTTCAACAAAGTGTAATATCATAACAAAATCACAATTAGTCTGTTCAGTTTTCTCAATGTGAGTGGTGAAATTGGCTTTCTTAAGTGTCTCTGCGGGCCGGATTGAGAGGCCCAACGGGCCGCATCTGGCCCGCGGGCCGTAGTTTGGAGACCCCTGGTTTAAATGATAAAAGCATCAAACTTATAAATACACAAATTATTTTACGTTTTTAATCAATCAGCAATTCTTGTTTGTAATTTGGCTACGTTTGCTGAAAGTTCAGCAAAAAAACTCGAAATTGTGTAAAAAAATTTCCAGTCTCAGAAGTCGTCGACACACAAAAATCTTTAATGTTCACTAAATTTATCAAGAATTTCACTAAACAACTTAATGACAAAAATTTCTTCCAGCAAGAGTGAAGATCGTTCTATATACTTAATATATTTGTAAAACCCACGGTAACTTTACTATTAAAAATATGTCGAATTGTAGATTATGAATGTTAAAATTGCTTTTTAAATGTTATGTGGACTGTCTTGGTAACTTTTCAAGTATTTTGAAGAAAAGATTATATATAAGTCTACTTTATATACTTTTTAACCTAAATACAAATTTTACTATATGCAATTTAAATGCGATATTTGGGGTATATTCTGAACTAGCAATTTGTTAAAATATTTCGTAAGCGTGTTATATATAAATAACAACGAAACAAATCAACGCTAATATTTATGATGTTCAATGATTGAAAAATCATATGTAAATAGTTTCAAACTACTGCTCCATAAAATTGTTAAAGAAAATCAACAACATGCACTGTCTTTATTTCTATCGTACCAGAATGCAGCGTTGAAAGACGTGCTAGAAATATGGATTTTACTTTATAGGCATATGAAATATCAGTGCATTATCAACTCTAGCCATGCAAACAAGGTATATCTACAAATTTTACGGATTATTCCTATATTATTAATAGAAAACAAAGAAATAGCTAAATTATATACAACAAATCGTACCTCTTCCAGGATCACCTAAATATGAACTATCAAAATATCTATGTAACATTCTTTATTCTCTAGTCAAAAGTTCGCCTCACACCATCAAAAACGCCACCACCTTCCTCGTCAACATTGACACCGTTAAACTACAACCAGACACAGACACAGTTATGATATCTTACGACGTGACATTACTCTTCACATCCATACTAGTAGACACAGCCAAAGTATTAAAAACGAACTATTTACAAACGACAAATCTTGGCAAGCCACGACACAACTTGACAAAAATGACATCTTAGACTTACTCAGTCTTTGCCTCTTCACTGAATTCTCCTTACAGAACTCATACCATAGACAAATTTCAGGCACACAAATTGTGTCACCACTATCCACCTTCACCGCAGAAATTATAATGCAACAACTCGAATCACAATCAGTCACCAACAACACAGACATCAGACTGAGGAAAAGATGTGTCGACGACATCTTTGCCATTGTCAAGAAAGACAAAACTGAACAAATCCTACAAACCTTAAACAATACAATAATAAACATAACCTTTACTAAAGATGAAGACATGAAAACAACTTACTTTTCTCTGTATCCTACTGACTAGAACAGCACACTAAACACACATATTGTGCCGCAAAACGACCCACACAGACCAAATATTTGATTTCAACATCAATCACCCAACACAACACAAAATATGCTGCATACGAACACCTTTTCATCAGAATCAACACTTATTGTAACACCGAAAAGGCTAAGAAAACAGAACGCAATTACTTATACTCCACATTTATAAAAAACAATTACAATAGAAAATTTATAAACAAAATTATAAACAAAACACAAAACAAAACCCAAACCAACAAAAGTAACGAATAACCCGATGAAACAGTAAAAACAATCACATCCATGCATACATAAACGGAACATCAAAAAAGACTGCATGACTTCTTCGACCATTCAATATAAACGTCGCAAACAAACCAACACAAAAGACAAATCATATTTTGCCAAACATAAAGACAAAACAACAACAATTCATGATACAACGGACGCAATCTACATGATGCCATTTAAAGATTGCTCAAAACAATACATATAGGACAAAATCGAAGAAAATCGAAACAAGACTCACAGAACACAAAACGCCATAAAACGACGAGATCCAAACTCATTAACGACAGAACACACGTTTGCAAATAACGACGCATAGGATTGGACAGAAATTAAAGTACTCGGACGCGCACAGACAAAACACGCACGCAAATTTAAAGACGCTTGGTACAGTAAAGACAACGACACAATGAACAAACATATTGACATACCTATCGTATATATTCACAGCTAAAGAAAACGACAAAAATCTACTAACGACACTCAAACCACAGCAACTCACGGTAATAATATATATTATCACAATCCTATTCACAATACACCCAAACCCACAACAACATATTTCACGTCATTCAATCACCTAAATCCACCATTAATAAAATAACTTATCCGGATAAACTTTTATCTTTCTAAAGTACATATATATAAGTTTAAAGAATGGTAATCCAGACATGCTTTATTGTAGTGCATGCCGTTATGTAATCTAGTACCTAATAACCAATTGCATATACAGTAAATAATAAATTATCTGTCAGTTTCCTGAAGATCGCCCTATGGCGTGAAACACCAAGTAGTGACAGCAAAACTTATCAATATATTAACTATACAATACATTGATTTTTAATACTGAATTGTAAGTAGCAATGCTGAAAATTACCATATATACATTGTTGTTCAATTATACATGGTTTCAGTTTATCTTTGTTGTTTTAGTATTTTGTCAAAGTGTTTCCTTCATGTGGTTATGTATAGATAACCAAGGTTAAAATCAACGCAAATACTCCCGATGTTCAAAATTACAAAAATCATGAATAAATATTTTAAAATGCTGCTTCATAAAATTGATAAAGAAAATCAACAACAAGTAGTGTCTTCATTTCTATCGTCACAGAATGGAGCGTTGAAAGACGTGCAAGAAATACGGATTTTACGAAATAACATACGACATATAAGTATATTATCAAATCTAGTTCTGCAAACAAGGTATGTACAAGTTTTACGTTGGGGATTATTCCATTTAGTAGAAAAATAAGGAAAACATAAAACAAAAATATGTTTATAATACATTGATTTTTCAAAACAGAAATTTTACTAATAATAATAAAATTACCTTTTATACATTCTCGTTCACTCACTGCACCAACATTGATGGTAACTTTACTCATTACAGGTAAGACAACGAGTTTGTTTTGGATATGGTTGATATGTATAGATGGGACATTTTTCACATTTCTTACTTTTAAAGGAAAAGAATGAACCAATTGAACAATCTATAAAGACGATTAATGAAAATAAAACGTTGACTGACAATTAAAATTCTACAGTTGATTTATTTATTGTATTCAATGTTTCCTGTCTCATTATGTAAGTTAACTATGAACCAAATAAAAGTTAGAAAATTTCCAAGAACATAAAACAACAAGAGTGATCAAGCAAAACACTTCACATTCAAGAAAACAAATACTTACCAAAAGCATTGCTAGGAATGGCCACCTTTGGTATTGTGTCACAGCTTCCTGGAGCAAAAGCAAGATATTTGAGATCTACATAGTTTCTTGTGTATGTAGCCACGACAGCTTCAACGATTAACTATGAAGAAAAAGTAAGCGGCTTGGACAAATTGCTAAAGTTTAATTTTAAGTTGTATAAATATGTGTAAGTTGCATACCCTAGATAGACCCATTGTAAAATTAACTGTGACTTGGCCTTTTTCCACTTATTCTTTGATCACCACTTAATGACCACAGTAAGGGATTGTATCCATTGTGAAAATATTCTTGGTAGATATTTAATGCTCCAAA